GCAGCCTGTTCCAATTTCTTCCTTTCAGTGAAGCAATTTTTCCTTATATCCAACCTTTGCTCTTATCCTGTCACTTGTTACTCCGGAGAAGAGACTGACACCCACCTGGCTACAACCTCCTTTCAGGGAGTTGTAGAGAGCGATAAGGTCTCCCCTCAGCCTCCTTTTCTCCAGGCTAAACAACCCCAGTTCTCTCAGTGGCTCCTCATAGGTCTTGTTCTCTAGACCCTTCAGCAGCTTCAAAGCCCTTCTCTGGACATGCTCCAGCACCTCAATGTCTGTCTTGTAGTGAGGTGCCCAATACTGAACACAGGACTCGAGATGCAGCCTCACCAGTGCCCAGCACAGGGGGACGATCACTTCCCCGGTCCTGCTGGCCTCACAATTTCTGATACAAGCCAGGATGCTGTTGGCCTTCTGGGCCACCTGGGCACACTGCTGGCCCATACTCAGCAGGCTGTCAACCAGCACTCCCAGGTCCTTTTCCGCCGGGCAGCTTTCCAGCCACTCTTCCCCAAGCCTGTAGCATTACATGGGGTTGTTGTGCCCCAACCACAGGACTGGGCACTGAGCCTTGCTGAACCTCATAAAATGGGCCTCAGCCCATTGATCCAGTCTGTTCAGATCCTTCTGCATAGCCTTCCTACCCTCCAGCAGATCAACACTCCCGCACAATTTGGTGTCATCTGCAAACTTACTGAGGGTGCACTCAATCCCCTCATCCAGATTGTTGAGGATATTAAAGAGAACTGGGCCCAGCAGTGAGCCCTGGGGAACACCACTTGTGACTGGCCACCAATTGGATTTAACTTTATTCACAACTCTCGGCCCAGCCATCCAATTTTTTACCCAGCAAAGTGTATGCCCATCCAAGCCATGAGCAGCCAGTGTCTCCAGGAGAATGCTGTGGGCGATGGTGTCAAAAGCTTTACTAAAGTCCAGGTAAACAACATCCACAGCCTCTCCCTTATCTACTAAGTTTACTTATTAATCCACTTTGGCCTAGGCTGCTGAAATATATAGCATTTACTGCTCCTCTAGAACATCATCTGAAAAGTATGAACTACTCATCCTCCAAAAGGGGTTCAGAATTTCTGCATCCAATTTGGTGTATGCAAGTTACCTTTAGTGAGTTATGTAGAGTTTGTCTACAATCAGAAGGAAACTGGCCCCCTGCTTAGGTTCAGTACTGAGACTTCTGAACCATTACTGAAAAAAGGTTAATTAACAGTATAGACAAAACAAAACAACTTCAGGACAGGTGCTGAAATGTCAATAGCATCACTGTAGTCAGCCTGTTATGCTTGTAATAGAGTCTGTCCCTATGTGTTCTCACAATGCTGCAAAAACTACTTTAGTACTATTTCAATTGCACTTCATAGCACTGCTCTTGAATGCTTAACTCTGTGTAGCAAATATCCTATTATATCTTGGCCTGATACAGAATAAAAACATCTGTGAGATGGCTGCAACTAATAGCTGATTCTTAACCACAGTTCCACAATATTTCTAGTGTCTCCCCAGTGACTGAACCCTACAATTGCTCTCGTGATAATTTTTGCTTTGAGCTACAGCATATACATTATCAGTGGAGTATTCTGCTTTAGAGATGCAAAGGATATTTTCTGGCAGTTGTTCTAATTTTGAAACACTCTTGCAATATTGTATAGTATCATTTAACCACTACAGAAGTCCTTTTATTGGCAAATATTTGGGGGTACCTTCCAATTGCAGACAGCAACTTTCACAAAAATGCCTCGCCTGTAGAAACTCCAGGCTAGACACCCACAATGCAGTGTTACTAGCACCGACTGGGAAGCTTGCTTAAAGCACACATGCTGAACTGGACAACCTCTAGATACAACAAATGGTACTGATGCACCCTACTTATGACGACTGAAAGAAATCACAGTAATTTAAAGCAGTTCAAACCCCCATTTCAGCAAAACCACTGAAGCTTTTTGTAATAATGATAGAAGCTATGTTATTCCACACACACAAACAGTTAAATCATTTGGAACGCTACCTGAAGGAGATTTGCTGCCGACAGCCTTTGTCCTCTATGGCCCAAATTTCCTTATGCAAGCAAAGTCTTGAGAGACTACTTTTCACACAGCTATTTGTCCGGACTCTTGGAATATGACCTAATTGGTGGCCAGAGATTCAAAATGTGATGCAAGAACTATATTTCTGTTTAGTTTTGTTCATTTTGTATGTTATTTTCTTCGGATTTAACTGTTTGTTAAAAGTTATTTTATTCAATATTCACTGAAAACAGCTAGTAGCTGAGACAAAGATCTCAATTCTTGGATGTGTTCTATACAAGCTGAGTATTTAACTCCTTTTATATTTAAAAGTCCCACTTTTTTTCTAATATGAAACATGAATGTGGTCTAAACTACTGTATTTTCTACTACTTAGAACTCATTTTTCTGTTGTATTCAACACACGTTGGGCTGCAATAAGAAGGTGACCAACTACGGCTTAATAGTTCAATGTCAGGATGCTCTTCCCCCTTCTTTTTCATTTGTGTTTACCAATACAAGGAATGTTTTAGTACTTACAGAACCAAGTGGGACTCTAGATAATTCAAAGGAATCCCTGTGGAACAAGTTCCAGCATGTGCATGTACACATAGAAATACAAGGTCTACAGAAGGACTAGAAATAGACAGATTAATTCAACTACAATACTGAGTTAGAAGTTTCCAATAACCACAGTATTAATCTACTAGCCTTGTAAACATCAACTGACAGAAGAGTTCGGTTTCAAAATACGTTAAAAGAGGAGTAATGCAAATAAGGAAAACCATATCCCATTTTCCACCTGTTCTTCCTTCTTCTTTCTGATGTGCATGTAAAAATCACCCAAAGGTGATGCTTGTTATTTAAAAAAACAAACAGAAAATGCATGTAATACGTTAAATCAATTTTAATGGATTGTAATTAATCCTACTTACAATTACGAAATATACTGCAACAACCTAAAGTAAGTTAATACAGTACTCCACTTTTCCATGAGATTTACTAGGTGTCTAGAGAACTTCTAATCCTGAAAGAGTTGAAAACAACATCAAACCTCTTTGTCAAGATTTGCCTTGCTAATGGGATATAAATTTTTGCCCATTAATAAAACATCAATTATAGGATATTTTATGGCATTATGGCAACTTCTCCAAAAACTTAACTAAATCTATAAATGAAAATTCTAAGCTGATATTCTCTTTTTCTATCATTTGGTTTCAGGCCCTACAATAATTTGGAGGGGGAAAAAAAAAAAAAAGATTTGTGCATCTAGAATGTGCAACTACATTCACAATACTGTAGGAAAATACCATTTAGTCTGATATTTCACCTAATACTTGAAAAACCTGAAGATAATCATTTAGATACATTATATATATAAAAATTAAAAAGAGTATTCAATGGCTGCTACTATAAGATCTCAAAAAGAGCCCCAGGAACTATGATATGAGCACCTTTAACTTGCTGAGAACATATAATGACATTAGAAATAACCACTTCATTTACAATTGATTTAAACTAACACTAAGAGAACAGAATTGTATTTCAAAGTAGTATCACTTTAATTCAACTGCAAGTATAAAGTCTCATAGCTAGACAGGGTAATGTACAACCCTAACTTAGGATAATGTACATTTAAATACAAAATGAAAGATAGAAGAGTATTTATTTTGTGGGTCTATCTTCACACTGTAGTCTCTTTCAGATCTATGTATCCATCACCCAAGGTCACAATAGGGAAATGTGATACTGTAAATTATAAAAACGCTAATTTAGATTTTTTTTAATGTTAAAGAACAGTGCTACAAAAACCAAACGCAATTCATAATTTGTTTAGGGAAATGTAGGTCTATTGACTTGGTGAATCTTATTTACACAGTGACTCATGAACTCTTGTACACTAAATGAAATTTCCTGAATCCCGAGTTATGCAACTAGATTAGCAAGATAATCATGTTCGCTAGAATACAGTATTAATTTTTCCTCTGATTTTTAAACTTGAAATTATACTATTACTTTTTAAATTCAGAACTGATTTTTTTTACCTGTGAGTAGATTATTATTGCTACATCTATAATACAAAACATGAAAAAAAAGCCTTAAAGAGTTGTAAAGTAGGTGCGGTTTTTTCCTATAACCTGTTAAAACTTCAGCTGTCTCAACTTGCAGTTATCATTACAAATGTTCAATTTATAAATACAAATTCCAAATATTTCTTAAGTAGTTAATATAGCTTCAGGGATACAAGAAAGTACATACAACATGAACTGTCTGGTACATATGATAGGAATTTTTTTCACCTGTAGATTCAAAAGCGATATGAAAACCAATGAAAAGCGTGCTTCTGCTGTGACGCATTCCCCGCAGAAGTCTTACAAAAATTATACTATTGAATAATGTAAACATAAGTGTCAGGTTGCATCTAGAGTAACAGACCACACATTATGGAAGAACTTACAAGAAAAGATTGCCAAATTTCTGATCTGCTACTGATTAGCAGAAGAATGTTATGCATTTGTTCCTAGCTGTAATCATGCATATTCAAAAGCTAGAGTAAATGTGCATAGTAACAATAATCCTGCATGATGCTTCTTTACACAGTTTTTTTAGTAATATCGATCCAAATAAAGACAATTTCAGGAAGCTGGCAAATTCTGTATAATTTCACTACACAGAAAATATACCCAGATTTCAAAAAGAACCAGCTTGTTATAAATTACAGCTCATACTGGTCCTTGGCCATAATAATAAAGGTACTCATCGTTTTATGTTGCTTAACACTTTGAATGCCTTCTTTCCTTAACATACGTATGTTTTACTTAGGTTCCCCTTTTAAAAATGTATGAAGGACTGTTGCTTTGTAGTTCACATTTATACGGCTTTCCTAGAAGAACGCAGAATACCATACTGAATGCCTATTGTGCAGAAATAACCCTGAAGGCTGTATCATAGCAGTATGCAGTAGAAAACCCTTACCAATTTTTCATCAACTGTGATGAGTTGCGTGTCTCGAGTTTGGTCCTGTGCCAGCCGCCATGTGGAAGTGCTCAGTGACCTGCGGTGCAAGACTTGAAGTTAAAAAATGATTCATGCAATGAGAAAATAGAGGCAGACAAATCTTACATAAACAAGTTACTTTAACAATATCCGTCTTGTAAAAAAAATTGAAGAGGGAGAGATGAGGGCACAAAAATCCTTTTTCTCCCCAATTAGTTCTGTCTGCTGAGTTTTTGGCAGACTCCCACTTAGCAGTTCACAACAGGCTGCACTTTATGTCAGCCTACAGGCTCTCTGTCACAGAGAGACTGCCAGTGGCAAGGACTGTACTGCTCTATATGAATGTACAGTAGCTGGTTTGTCACGAACAGACAGAAAAATACAAGGCTGCTGCAAGTATTCTGGAACTCTGATCCTTAAAATGATGGCATCAGAGGAAAAAAATCCTAAATCTATTTGTAATGGTAAAGCTCCAGTTCTACATATTAACAACAGAGTATTAACAAATTTAAAATTAAAAAACCAAACAACAAAACAAACCCTAAGATGCGAAGTCAAACAAATTTTTCTGATTTTGAGTGGGCAAAACTCATAACTATTTTGCTTCGATTTTAAATCAGTATGGGTCAGCTTACTTGCTCCCAAGAAATACAGTTAGTCTTCTTGCATAATTACTAAACCTGTAAGGTACAGATGGAAACACAGAACCTAATTCCACATCACTGAATTAAGAAGTTGCCTTTAATTTGCATTATGTCACTTATGTCAGGATTGGGCCCTTTGAGTACAAATCATCATTTGGCAAAATAATGCAACAGCAAGTGAAACAAGCCAAAAAGCCCAATCCTCTGAGCTAATAGTGTGCTTCACATTTAATTAAGGTCATTTTAAAAAATGAGGCACAAAAATGCAAGAATATAGACAACTGAACAGTAAGAGGGACTAAGCCACTTTCGTTTCAACTGTTACTCAGAAGATTACCTAGTCTGGGAAGCCAGACATGCTTGCAGATGCAAATGAACCTTAAAATTTTGCCTATGTGATACTTACAATCATACTTGCAGTAATTTAACGCTTTTGATAACATTTACCTCATTTTTGAGGAAACCATCCATAAGCGCCTTTAAAAACACCACAGCTTTTAAAGCCAAATTTCAAGACTTTCAGCAAAACAATCCAAACTAACCCCTCCCCACATAAACTATAACTATTAAATAGTCAGTAACATGAAAGGTGTCTCAGGACCAGACAACTTGCACACAATCATTCAAAACCTGTGGAATTAAAAGAGTTTATCTTCTGCCTCATTCTACTAAGCCATGGAAGCATGGAATACATAACTGGGGGAACAGCCTCCATAACACATGCATCTACCACGTCTTCTACATCTCAAATCCCACCATAATTTTTGTTGATTCTGCTGAGAATGCATTTGAAATATGAACTTGATCATTTAATTAATCTAGCTGCTCTGAATTTAATACATTAACTAAACAAGCATTGAATTTTCAGACAATACTATCAAGGTAAAAATTTTAGGAGGTAAAACCTACACTACAAAGGAATTTGAAATTAGTGACTATAAAGAAAGCCAAAAGAATCTTATAAAACTAAGCAACCAGAACAAAGTTCAGTCCAGTAGTATTTCAAATGCAGATTCCCACAAATCTATACTTCTAACACAGAATACACTCTACTAAATTTGCCAGTAACAACTTCAAAAAATCTCCACAACACAAACAACAAACTCAAAGCACAAAGTTTATAGATATAAACACCCAACTTTGTGACATGGATAGACACATCTATCCCTATTTAAAATGACAAAATCTGTCTGGAAGGGTACTTTGAAGAACAAGATGAAGTTTTCAAGTGCAAAAGAGCACAAGAATTTCATAAGCATTGAACTAACTACTCTGATAGATCAAAACCTATGTCCCAGAGTGTTTCTGGCTCAACACAGCTACGATTTTCTAATTTGTACATGTAAAACATACACCATAAAACCAGAATAGACAGATACTGCAGTATCTGTTTGTGGAGGTCTCTCTGTGTAAAAATACATTGAACACCAGTTTTGCTTTAAAGATGACAAGCTGTTGATACTCCATTTGTTGCATCTCTCATAGGAAAGTAACCTGCAGCTTAGAAATACCAGCAACTCTGAAGTATCATGTGATCTGACATACTACTATTTAAAAGTTAAGAGAAAGTGTTACTTGATTCCCAGAATGTTTGTTTAATTTTCAGCAGGTTTCACCGCAAGTCTGTCCCTAATGTCAGGCACTTAACTGAAGAGATAACCAGGAAACAGACCTCTTTCACATAATCCTCTCTTTTCAAACTCCCACAATGACAAGTATCATTTCATCACTCAAGTTTCCCCTTAGAAACTGTATAAACTTTACAACATTTATTTTACCTTCAAATTAAATTAATATGCAATCTAAATCACTTAAGTGACCACTCAATTTAAACTTTTTACTCTGTCCTCAACAGTGAAGTAATTCTCACAAAATTCCCAATTAATACTTTGCCTCTGCCCACATCCACCTTGACCTTTAGGTAGCTTTTGTGACCGATAAACTTGCAGAAGTATAAAACATACTTTTTACAGTTCCATCCTCACAAGGTTCTCCTCCTTTCTTCTACTACTGACATCTAGAAAGGTAATCTGCTTTCTTCCTTTCTCTTTGTAAGCAATACGGGTCCACAGTTCCCATTTTGCCTCTTTTTGACTGCTTATGCTTTTTTTTTTTTCTTTTGAAAACATCTTGGGATAAGGCCTTAAGACCAGGAAGTTCCATTGCTTACCCTTGTTACAAGACTATTCAAACTCGGATTTAAAATTACTGTACACAGAATACTTTAAACAATACTAACTAGACTGGCAATATAATTCTAAAGCTCAGAAACTATACAGAAGGTTTTACGCATAACAGCTAGCAACAATAAACCCTGCTATCTACTAGGCTTATTAATGTCCCATTCAAAACACAGATCAGACAAACTTCTTTCACAGGAATAAATAAAAATCCTTCAAAATTACATAGACAAAAGTAAAATCAGGTTTTATTAAAAGAAGTCACCCACGTCCTTTATGATCATGCAGATACTTTCCCACAGTATCCCATATTAATGCGGTTAATCCAATCTGCAGGTTCTTAGATTATAACCAACCCTTCACAAAGTCTTCTAGTCCCTAAAAAGTTTTTCTTTCATCAAGGAGGCCTGGCTGTATGGCTGGTGAAGATGCCACGCTTAGTTCACAGGGATTTAGACAGCAAAATTCTCCTCTTGTTGAATTTGACGTTCTAGGCCTCTTCCTTCAGATACATCTGGCATCACACTCCTCCTCCCCAAGTATATTGCCCTCTCTCAAATCTCCTAGTCACTCTCTTAATGGAGATTCTTCATTCTCTACATGTTAGTCTGTCGCACAAATACGGAGGTGTCTTTGTATTTCCACAAACATGGATAGCTTGGCATGCATGTATAGCAGCTCCTCTGGCTAGAAACCACCACTCAAATTACCACATGATTTGTAATTATGAAAGTGGTATTTCCTCCCCACCCCGTACCATTGTGTGGTGCATTTAAATTCCTTAAACTTGATCTATATGATTCTGTATCATCATTTTACATTACTATCATTTAATCATTATTATAATTTCATTATACTAATATTTACAGTTCACTTAAAACGCAACTTTGTATGATACAATTTTGACCTTACCATCAATCTGATCATGGTCCAGCTTCAGCATGAACTCTGCTTTAGTATCTGCTATAAACAATACACTTTAATGATATGTCTGGGTCTCAGTGTTAGGAATTTAAAAAAGGTTAAGGACACTTTTTCTTCCACAGTGCACACTTTGTTAGAGAGGCATTATAGACTTAACATTGCATCTAGACTGGGTTATGGCTACAATTTGTTATTTTATAATCTCACCGTAAATCTAAATGTCTTGTATATTGTGTTGAGACAAGAGTAGAAATTTGGGAAAGACTACACTACATAGTCGTCTTATTAAATACTTGTAAAAATAGTCTTACATTAACTCAGTAACATGAAATGAATTAATGATGACTACTAGTGAAAATGTGAATTTGTAGACTTCAAAAATTTCTATAGGTATTGCATATTCTGGAAAAACAAATGCTGTGATCATATAACCACGTGTCTTCCATAAGAAGCATGTACTCCCCTTCTACCATCATCTGCTGTTCCAGCAAAGTCACAAATGGGTTCCGTATCTCTGCTACACAAATGGAGGTGTCCATTGAGAAGCCATTGGAAGTTCTCCAGTCTTCACTACAATATTCACACCAGTACCAGATCTCTCAACCATCTTATCCCACCATGGGATAAGGACATAGCAGAGTTCCTTGTTTCAGAGGACATATTTATGTCTACTCTTCCCTTCTTACATTAGAGGCCCCAGCTCTGTTGATGCCATTAACCAGTTCTGTTGAATTAGAGAAACCAAACAGTAAAAAAATGGACAGCAAAAGTCTTTTGTGATATCAGGATGAAGGATATTAAGGTATCTGACTTGAACATTTATCTTGGTAGTTCTGGATATCTGTATTCAAACTCTAAAATTCAACACATTTGGACTTAAATATCTGCTAAATAACCTATGCTTAACCCCTATATGCTTTTCTTTTTTAACCGCATAAATGAAAAACTAAACGGAAGTCTTACGAAAGAGAATGCCTGCCACAGAGCCTCTGGAAACATCACAAGGAATCCCCCACAAGGTCAGTGGAAGGTGAGAAGCAGCCATATTTACAAGGCATGAATGTGCCTTCCACGAAGAGCAATGCTGTGACTGGCATGTTACACAACACACAGATGCGAAAACTTGTATTTACCTGAACTAGTTCAGTAGCTGAGATTTAATTCATTGCACAGAAAAAGGCTCCTTAACCTCTTTATGCAACACATCTGTTTGATCTATTAGCACCCCCTTTTGGTCAACTGTTGGAGATATGTTAAAGAAAATCAGATATCACAGCACATGTAATCAGACCACCACACAGAGATGAAAC